ATATATATATATATATATATATATATATATATATATTATATATATATCGGTTTTGTTTTTAGTATCTTCAGTTGGACTTAACTTTAGTCCGGCAATTTTCGTGTAGTTGGGCCATTTAATATTCTACCAGAGTTAAACGTGTTTCTAATAAACAACACGTAAAAAAAAAAAAAAAAAACTCTACGACTGTCATCTTGTCTCCGAGTCAGTAGAATTCTGCAATTTCAGGACAGACCTTCCAGTTGGTGTGTGGTGGAGTCAGCACCGTGTGGTGAAAGCTGTTGTTGTTGGTCCTACAATGATGTGGTGTGTGTTATCTTTCAATTGGCAAACTCTAATAGTGAAACCGGAACCAATTTGCATTTCTTTACTCTTTTCCACCGTTTTGATTGTTTAGCCAGGTGCTCATCTTGTTATTAAATTTACAGTATCATACTATCATCTCAACAATTGTGTTTCTATTATTGACTATTTCTATAATTGGAAAATTGACTATTTCTATTATTGGTAAATGTTCAAATAGGCTACATTCCTTACTTCCACCAGTTCAGACATCTAGGATCCACAATAACACGTACGAGAGGCCAAGTCATCCTCATTCTCTTCGGATTTCATTAGTAAGGAGGAAGTTCTCTTACTCTACAGAGGATGCTTGCTCTATCTGAATGTGCAGGAAGTGTAATGCGCAGACTTTTGGGATAAATTATTGGCGTGATGAGTCAGGTTCATTGCATTCACTTTTGTCAAAAATCATTTCACCTCAAGCAAGCCTGTGGTGAACTTCACCACATTAATTTAACTTTAGATTAGGAGACAAGACTGAATTAGAAAAGGATAAGCAAAAGACATTGTTATACATAAAATATGTATTTAACAAGATGTACAATATCAAACAACGATGTGAAAGAAAGCATGCATTTAAGTAAGAGAAGATTGAATAAAACAAGAGTTGTCTCTCTTTAACTGTTATTTTAGTATTTCAAAGTTCACTGGAATAATGTTCATGAGAGTCTATTGTAATGTTTGTACTTGTAAGCTTTTTCCATGTAAGAAAAGATTATGCGAGTGTATACAAGGTATGTTCAGCATGTGAGTGGTGTGTGTGAGTGAGAAGGTTGGCGAATGGTTTCAACTGCCGTGGATTCGTTTGGCAGATGAATTCTCTCTAATTAGCTAAGACAAATTCTTGATTAAATAAGTGACTATAGGCTCCAGATCGCTGCGCGGGAAGAATTATTCTTCACGTGCAGACGATCTGATTGGTTGGCATAGACCAATCAGCAAGCGAGCTTTGGGGAGACTTAAGAATGCTTCTGTGATCTGTTTCTCCCAAAAGTGCACAAAACTTCCTACATGAAAATAGAGCGATTACAAAATTGTCGCATTGCTGCGATTTGTAAATTGTCTATAATAACGTAGTGGTGATTAATTAACCAATGAATGCTTGTATCTGATTTGTGTTTTTGTATGTATGTATGTATGTGCGTGGTAGAGTCGCAAAAGACAAAAAAAGCCACTAAGACGAAAAGTTGTTACTGAGTGTGAGAGAAGATTAGAAAAAAAATTATTAAGGAAAGAGACCAATAAAAGAGAGGAATTCAGAAGATAGCAATGGACATGCGTTAAAATCTTTGAAGATCAAAGTTGTTTCGAATGCAACAAACCAGAAGTGAGCTCCACCAGCGAGAAGTGCGGAAGGAGATACTTTTAGCATAGAACTTACAGTTACATGTAGATATTTGAACTATAAAATGACATTAAGACCTTGCCGCCAATCTGGTATGGCGGTTAAGTTCATAAAATCTAAGTAAAATAGAGGGAAATACATGAAAACAATTAACATGAAAATATGTACTTATGCGCAAATACTCTTGGGAAAATATGAATCTATCGCTTCCCTCCAGCTATGGGTTCATAAACGATCGTGTGACACTATGAGTTGGATATATGCGCACGCGTGTGTGTGTGCGCCCGCACATCTGTGTGTGTGTGTGTGTGTGTGTATATATACACCCACATATCTGTGTGTGCGTGCGCGCGCACTCATATGTGCGAGAAGATTAGTTAGATTTGACCTGGGTATCAAACTTCAAGACCCAATGACTAGATTAGGAATCTAGATAAAAACATGTTTTGGACATATGGCCAAAAGGGTAGATAAGTGTCAAAATACGAAGATAGTTAAAAGACCGGCTCTGGTCAAAACTTAAAAGGGTCTGAATTTAATGTCCCTGAATCGGAGTCAGCTAGGCTAAGAAATATTTCTATGTCCACTTTCTTCAAAAGGAGAAATGGTCATGAAAAAGTTATGGGTTTATTCGTGGGTGTCCCTTCCCCGGAAATGATGACAGAGGTCTCTATATATATACGGGAACGCTTGGGTTAGTGGCAGACTTAGTTTAGGTTCGAGGAAGGTTGATTCAGGCCCGTAGCAAGTAGCAACGAAGAGCGACACCCTAGCAGCCGGACATTGTTAGTAAGCATATATTTTTTTTTTTTGCCAAATGAGAATCAGCCCAGAGTTAACTATCCACAAAAGGTCACACGCCCTCCTCCTCTTTTCGTTCTACCCAAGTTTGTAGTCGTGTTTTTCTTTTGCATGTGAACCTGCCTTTCGCTCGATCCACCGCACAGAAATTCTACGACGTGGGGTCTATATCTTTGTGCAACGAGTGCAGAGGTGGGTAGCTTCACAATCGTACGAGGACTCAACTCGAAGCTTGTTCCCTGAATCGACTGCAACCAAGCCGCTTCCAGCCACTGAATCGACCATAATCAGATACCGACCAATCCCTCTCTTGGCTATTGTCTTGGTGGTTCTTGTCCGTTGCTTGCTCTCTAAAATGAGTCTGTTTCCGGCAGCGATTGCTCAGTGGTTCGTTGTGTTCCCGAGGAGCGTGGTAACATGTTTCTCGCGTGATTCACAAGGTTAGTCCCTGAATCACGAAGCCAGGCGAAAAATCCCTTTCAACGACGAAAAACCACTTCAGAAAATCTAGCAATAACGGAGGATATTACGCATTAAACACGCGTCGTACAAAGATGGCGGTTTCAGTATTTTTGGTATGGTTCAATTCTCCTCCTTCTAGCTTCTAGTGGCAATGTAGTCAATCTGAAACCATGACGTCCTTTGTGTCTGTGTGTCCGTTCTCCTCATGTCTTCGAGCAGCTGAGATTTTCTTAGCAACTTGTTTTAACCTCGACTCAGCAATTGCTTCATATAAGCGATTCCACGGGAATTCCATTTTTGACATTGATGTATGCCAAAATTTCTACCTTCATCTGGATTATTTAATGTCCATTGTAGAACAAAATCACATGGCCCCAGCAAAGCAACATTTATCCAAATTTTAATGAGAATTACCTTAAGGTATAGCATGGTCGTAATAAGAATTTGTTCAGATTTCAATTCAGAAACACAAGTAAATATTTATTAACACTAGGATGGCCAGCTTCTTTGACATTTTTATTTACATTATGCCGTGAAGCACCCATCTCTAATAGATTCAATATTCAAGTCAGGAATAATAAGTCTGAAAAGAAATTCACAAATATTAGTATACCTCATACTGAAAGAAAGTGATATATATATATATATATATATATATATATATATATATATATATATATATATATATGTGTGTGTGTGTATAGATAGATAGATAGATAGATAGATAGATAGATAGATAGATAGATAGATAGATAAATGGATAGATGGGGGGCATAAACAAAAGTATTATTGCTTGTGAGAAATTTTTCAATGCATTTACCCTATAAATAGCCTAGGTGTCAATGACGACACCTCGGCCATTCAAGGTAAAACCTCAAATATCAGCTATTCCACTGAATATTTTTTAAAGAATTAAGTCTGTTAAGCATCTTTGCTAAAATTCAATAATTGTGCATAAGCCTCATCATCGAACCAAAACTAGTTATTCCATAGGAATTTATTGAAAATTTGAAGTTGTCGAAAGCTACACCTCGGCCATTCTAATGTTAATATCAGACCAACATTGAAAAATTTCAAAGTTAATTAATTTTCACCAAATTTCTTCGTGATTCAACTCTATCGGGTTCCATTAGTAACTGCATACCTCTGGTGGAATATTAATTCTCCATTTCTTTTCCCAATTACTTCCGAATTATTTAAGACATCATTCCGGGAGTTTTCACGATTTGTTTCTAATTTATAATCTCCTCAAATCACCATTTTGAATTCTCATGCAACTAAATGTCGAACCAGGGAGATCGCCCTGTTACAGGTTAAATAGCAAGACTTTTACTCGGAATAATCATTGCTATTCTCAAAAACTGTTAATAAATACCCACTTGCCAAAACAAAAGTAACCAGTTATACAATACTAAAAGTGTCGATAAACCGTAAAAAATCAATCAAAAAAATCTGATCACTAAAATATTAACTACATCAAGAGTTAACCCTTATCTATCCAACATATTCTCATTTTCTTACCTTTTCTCTTTACGCTCTTACGTCTTATTCAGTAATACTCTGCTTTGAGTGGCTCTTGTATTGCGGGACCGGCAGTATAAAAAATACCTATTGCTGACAAGATTGTTATTGATTATATTCGTGGTACATTTTACAACGCAGTGACCCCAGAGTCTAGAGCAGTGGGAATAAACAATGTCTTCAACAGAATGAATGACAAACAATATTTATTATAAAATCGAAGGATTTTTTTTATTTTATCGAAGCTCAGTCATAATAAATATGTCTGCCATTCGTAAACCTTTCTAGGTTGGTTAATTCTCTGTACAAATTTATTGAGTGGAATCAATTTTTATTAGAGAATTAATGAATAAATAGGAACACGATAGATTAATAAAGTTTTGCATTGTTAGGAGAATATAGGACGTTTTTGATTGAACAAAAAAAAAAAAGAAATTGATTTGCATCATAGAAATTAACGTTTCATTTTTGTTCCATGGTTTAAAATTAATTTTCAGTTTGATTTATCAAAAGGGGACAATGATTTTGCATGTATAAGTATGAACACGTGCATCGATTAAATAATATATATATATATCTTACACTGTTCATATCTCTCTATCTAAATCTATTCATTATCTATCTATCTATCTATCTATCTATCTATCTCAGTCTGTTCATATCTATCTATCTCACTCGGTTCATATCTGTATCAGAGTATTCATATGTATCTACCTCTCTCTCTAACTATCCATCTATCTATGTATAGGGTGTTAATTATCTATCTTAGTCTGTTCATATCTATCTATCTATCTATCTATCTATCTATCTATCTATCTATCTATCTATCTCATTCTGTTCACATCTATATCAGATTGTTCATATGTATCCACCTCTGTCTGTCTGTCTTTCTATCTAGTGTTCATCTATCTATCTATCTATCTATCTATCTATCTATCTATCTATCTATCTATCTATCTATCTATTGTGTTTTTCTATGTATGTATGTGTCTATCTAGCTAACTAGCTAGCTAGCTCTGTCTGTTCATATCTATCTATCTATCTATCTATCTATCTATCTATCTATCTCTCTATCTATCTCATATCTATACCAGTGTGTTCATATGTAGCCACCTCTCTCTCTCTTTCTATCCATCTATGTATAGGGTTTTAATATATATATATATCTTTCTCTATCTACCTAGTGTTCATCTATGTATGTATGTATGTGTCTATCTATCTACCTATGTAACTAGCTAGCTAGCTCTGTCTGTTCATATCTATCTATCTATCTATCTATCTATCTATCTATCTATCTATCTATCTATCTATCTCATTCTGTTCATATCTATATCAGAGATCTCATATTTATCCACCTCTCTTTCTCTCTCTTTCTATCCATATATGTATAGGGTGTTCATTATCTCTATCTATCTATCTATCTATCTATCTATCTATCTATCTATCTATCTATGTAGCAAGCTAGTTATATATATATATATATATATAGCTTTTCATATCGTATCATATATTTATTTTTTGACTGAATTTTTGGAATGAGGTGTGTAATAAAATGAATTTTGAAGCGACTTATTATTTACAGTCGGATGAACATCCTCAGTTTTGTTATTATTATGGAATTAAGTCGTTGGCTCATTAATTTAATTAATTTAATTAATTTACACAAATATTTCAACCTGTTCACTCGTGAAAATGAGAAATACACAAGTAAAGAAGAAATTCTAAATAATCGCCCGCTGCTGTTCGTAACGTCCAGTTCTCTCGGGCAGACTATAAGAAACGAGAATAATGTCGATGGAACTGATCACCATTTCCATTCATATATATTAGTAGTATATTGTTCTTCTAACGTGTTGAATTTAGCCATTAGCAGTATTGTTTCTCGCTTAGCGATTTTTCAAAATGAATGTTAGTTTATTAATAACGCTATTGAGATTTTTTTAAATTTTTAAAATGGTATTTGACCAAATTTTTTAATTCAAGAAAGAGAAAAATGGAAATGCATAATGTTCCAATTTTATTAAAATTTTAAAAAGTGCTTTCTAAACAAAAAAAAAAAAAAAAAAATAAAGTCCGGAGGGCATATAAAATAATAGTGGGGGTCCAGAGAAAAAATTATCCTCTTGACATTGTATACGTTTGTTCAACTTTGGCAAATTTCTTTGTGCCATTAGCAGTAATGTTTCTTGCTTAGCGATTTTTCAAAATGGGTGGTAGTTTGTTTTTTTTTCTCTAAAAATTGCTTTTTAAAACAATAATAATTCCGGTGGCCATATACAATAATAGTGGGGTCCAGTGAAAAAAATTCTCCCCTTGACATCGTATACGTTTGTTCAACGTTGTCAAGTTTTTGGTGCCATTAGCAGTAATGTTTCTTTCTTAGCGATTTTTCAAAATGGGTGGTAGTCTTTTTTGTTTTTTTTTAAAAATTGCTTTTTAAAACAATAAAATTTCGGGGAGGGGGTATATACAATACGATGTCCAGAGAAAAAAAAACTCGCCTTTTGATATTTGATATCATTTGTTCAAAGTTGTCAAATCTTTTTGTACTACTCGTTTCATAATTTGTTCAATTGTTGTCTAATTTCACAGCAAAATGCCGAAGCAGATGTTTCATGTATATTGATTTTTAGTAATTTTATAACATCAATACATGTAACATGTTGTATTTGATTCATGATTATTAAAGTTCATTAGGCAATATCGACAAAGCTTTTAGCTCATCATTCAACTCTGAAACCAAGTGTTCAGTTTTTATTCGCCTCATTAATCTATGGATATTTTGAGTTTAACGCAAATTGTTTTTAGAAATATGAAAAAATATATTGAAAATGATCCATCTGAATATGATTCTTAACATCGTTGTAAAACATTCCTCGCTTAATGTTCATTATTAACTTTAACAAGTAACTTTAACCAATAACTTTAACTAGTAACATGGGGATATAGTTAGTTTACTTGTCAAATATATGCTCCAAAGCAAATGATTCCTTTTTGTGCCAAGACGCTTGGAGACATGGGATACGTTGACACTCAAGAAAGTCCGATTTTGCCTACTTTACTAGAAATAAAATATGAACGTAATATCAATCCTCCTATATGGCAGTGAATGCTGGACAATCTCCTCATGTCTTCCAAAAGCTAAATAAAGTATTAAGAAACAGGAAGATTTCGTTAGAAACAAAGAAAAGAGTGATGAACGTCTATGTAATATCAATCCTCCTATATGGCAGTGAATGCTGGACAATCTCCTCATGTCTTCCAAAAGCTAAATAAAGTATTAAGAAACAGGAAGATTTCGTTAGAAACAAAGAAAAGAGTGATGAACTTCTATGTAATATCAATCCTCCTATATGGCAGTGAATGCTGGACAATCTCCTTATGTCTTCCAAAAGCTAAACAAAGTATTAAGAAACAGGAAGATTTCGTTAGAAACAAAGAAAAGAGTGATGAACGTCTATGTAATATCAATCCTCCTATATGGCACTGAATGCTGGACAATCTCCTCATGTCTTCCAAAAGCTAAACAAATTATAGTATTAAGAAACAGGAAGTTTTCGTTAGAAAGAAAGAAAAGAGTGATGAACGTCAATGTAATATTAATCCTTCTATATGGCAGTGAATGCTGGACAATCTCCTCATGTCTTCCAAAAGCTAAACAAAGTATTAAGAAACATGAAGATTTCGTTAGAAAAAAAAGAAAAGAGTGATGAACTTCTATGTAATATCAATCCTCCTATATGGCAGTGAATGCTGGACAATCTCCTCATGTCTTCCAAAAAGCTAAACAAAGTATTAAGAAACATGAAGATTTCGTTAGTAAAAAAAAAAAGAGTGATGAACTTCTGTGTAATATCAATCCTCCTATATGGCAGTGAATGTTGGACAATTTCCTCATATCTTCCAAAAAGTAAACAAAGTATTAAGAAACAGGAAGATTTCGTTAGAAACAAAGAAAAGAGTGATGAACTTCTATGTAATATCAATCCTCCTATATGGCAGTGAATGTTGGACAATCTCCTCATGTCTTCCAAAAGCTAAACAAAGTATTAAGAAACAGGAAGATTTCGTTAGAAACAAAGAAAAGAGTGATGAAATTCTATGTAATATCAATCCTCCTATATGGCAGTGAATGCTGGACAATCTCCTCATGTCTTCCAAAAGCTAAACAAAGTATAAAGAAACAAGAAGATTTCGTTAGAAACAAAGAATAGAGAGATGAACTTCTAGGTAATATCAATCCTCCTATATGGCAGTGAATGCTGGACAATTTCCTCATGTCTTCCAAATGCTAAACAAAAGTATTAAGAAACATGAAGATTTCGTTAGTAAAAAAAAAAACCGTGATGAACTTCTATGTAATATCAATCCTCCTATATGGCAGTGAATGCTGGACAATTTCCTCATGTCTTCCAAAAGCTAAACAAAGTATTAAGAAACAGGAAGATTTCGTTAGAAAGAAAGAAAAGAGTGATGGACTTCTATGTAATATCAATCCTCGTATATGGCAGTGAATGCTGGACAATCTCCTTATGTCTTCCAAAAGCTAAACAAAGTATTAAGAAACAGGAAGATTTCGTTAGAAACAAAGAATAGAGAGATGAACTTCTATGTAATATCAATCCTCCTATAATTAAGAAGCTCGGCTTGACGGTCGAACTCTCTGCCTCTGAGCAGAAAGGAACCCGGACGATGTTCCGCCGAAGGGCAGAATCTCGTTCGGGGAAAATGACCAACCCGAACTCGTTTATACGGGTTATACGGGCATTTTTTGGCCGAGCCTACGGACTCGGGAAACCCACGATAAACTCGGCCTTGTGCCACATGCAACCCTCGTGGAGGGGGGTGCTATATACCGAATCAAGCCGAGAAGCTCGGCTTGACGGTCGAACTCACTGTCTCTGAGCAGAGAGGGACCCGGACGAGGTTCCGCCGAAGGGCAGAGTCTCGTTCGGGGAGGATGACCAACCTGATCCCGTTTATAAGGGTTCTACGGGCATTTTTTGGCCGAGCCTACGGGCTCGAGAAAACTTACGTTAAACTTGGCCTTGTGCCACATGCAACCCTCGTGGATGTGGTGACTAGATACCGAATCAAGCCGAGAAGCTCGGCTTGACGGTCGAACTCACTGTCTCTGAGCAGAGAGGGACCCGGACGAGGTTCCGCCGAAGGGCAGAGTCTCGTTCGGGGAGGATGACCAACCTGATCCCGTTTATAAAGGGTTCTACGGGCATTTTTGGCCGAGAAAAACTACGTTAAACTTGGCCTTGTGCCACATGCAACCCTCGTGGATGTGGTGACTAGATACCGAATCGAGCCACATCTTTCCCTCGGGTGGGGGAGCAAGTAAATATCGAATCGAGTCGAGCCAATAGTAGTTCACTCCAAACCAGACTGACTGTCATACTAACACCTTCCACATCTTGTATTATTATTTCATGTAATATACCTTCGTTATTTCTACTCTTGCGTTCGTGTTGTTCTTCCTTGGTCCTAATCTGGACCATAACAGTAACAAAAAAGTTATATTTCTAAAGAGCTACAAAGGACATGAATTTCTTTAGAACCGTGTTCGCCAACGCCCCACAGGACACATATAAAGAAAAGATGGAGGAGGAGGAGAATAAACGTTTTTACTGTTTGTCCATGTTCTGTTATAAATTCACTCGACAAGTGAGTTACTTACTGTTTTGGCTACTTCTATAGCCTTCAGTATGCCCTGCCCGTGTTAAATTCTCCAGACGTCCTTCCTTTATTAATCATCCCAGAAAATTAATCTGGCCCTTTCTGATTGTATGTATAAGTTAACTTCTTTGACTTAAAACTTCTTCATTGCACATACGTTCTATTCATGTTATTCTCATCATCCTCCAGTAGAACCACATTTTCGTTGCCTCAAGTGTCATCTTCATCAGTGACGAAATCGTATACAGCTTTCACTGCCATATAAGAAAATTGCTATTATATAGTAATTCTCTACTCCTTTTTTGTTTACTTCTAACGACATTTTCCTATTAATTATTTGGTTTTTGGTAAGGCGTCTTTTAATATTCGAATGTGTCTTCGAATTGCAGTGTTAGATTTCCCTTCTTCTGTGAAAACATTTCCTATATCTTTTAAATATTCGTATTTGCTTGGTTCGGAAATATTAATTCGTAACTTGCGGCTTCCTATTGTAATTGGCCATATATTCTGTCTTTTCTTCACAAATACTGTTGCTATACAGTCTTCTTTTATGACAGGCGAATTGAGAGGTTTAGTCTGTAAATATTGTCGGTATTAATTTAGTTTGGTTAGAATATTAAATAAATCGATATATAAATAAACTGTATTGCATTGACAAAGGGGCAAGTATTTATATTCGCATCCTTTTCTTGTAGAACCAAATTTCTGTTGCCTCGTCAGCTTTTCATCAGCATTCTCTGCCATATAAGAGATATTATATAACACTTTAGCATTCTTTGT